GAGTAGAGCTCGTAGTCACGCTGAGCAGCGACGTGCAGCAGAACCCGAAGAGTGGTCATCTTCGGGGTCGGGGGAGAAGGTCTGGAAGAAGTCAACTCCCTCTCACTGACTGAAGCCTCGAGCAACGTAACGCGCCTTGAAGACAGGCGGAGAACCCGGCGGCCGCTTCACCCTGAAAATCCACATGCCACTGACGATGTTCGCCCCAGGTGGGGGAACCTCGTCGACGTAGGTGCCTGTGGACTTCCAGGAAGCCATCTCTGCGTCCATGGCTGTCTGCCACTGAGAGGAGTAGAGACCCTCCATCGCCTCTGCGTAGGAGCGTGGGGTCGGGATGTCTGGTGCATCCGGGTCTCCCTCAGGGGCAATCAGCATGGACACGAGATGAGGTAAAGCAGCAGCAAAGCACTCAAACTCCTCCTGTCTGTCCTCAAGGACGTCCGTGCCAAGAGCACACTCACCCCCGACGGACGGAGGACAGACAGACTCAGACTCAGCAACAAGGCTAGCGGCGTAGTCTAGACGACAGGCGGCAGCAAAGTCAACAAGCTCAGCGACTAGAGCAGACGCAGCAGAGGACTCAAAGGTAGGGTCAGTGACAACAGTGGCAAGGAGACGCGCGACAGTAAGACTGGCAGCACGAGTAAGGTCTGACGGCGGGCCAGCAACGTCAGGAAGAGAGGACGTAGGAGGAGACGGCAGAGGGACACGCTGTGGAGCAGTGGAAGGACGCAGGGTCATATAGTGAGTGCCAAGGACAGGAGGAGGACGCTCACGCGGAACACGACGACCAGTGCGGGCAGCGCGGACAGGCGACTCTGGACGAGACTCAGGAGACGCAGGACTAGACTTAGGCGACGGAGGACGAGACTCAGGCTCACGACGCTCCGTAAGACTACCCGTCGGCGTATTGTAAGGAGAAGGAGCAGGCAGCGGAGAGGCAGGCTGTAACTGTGACTGCGACTGGACAGACGGTGGACTCAGTAGGGGAGGAGTAGGACCAGTAGAGGGCGGGAGACCAAGAACCTGCTGAAGGAGCGGAACGTAGTACGGCCGCGGCCGCTCAGCACCTCCAGCTCCAACTCGCTCAGCAGCTCCAGTCCCAGCAGCTCCAGTACCCCCTGTACAAGCACCTCCAGGACCAGCGGCTCCAGCAGCTCCAGCACCAGCACCTCCAGCAGCTCCAGCAGCACCGCCAGCAGCAGCAGTGCCTCCAGCAGCTCCAGCACCAGCAGCACCTCCAGTAGCTCCAGCAGCACCAGCACCAGCAGCACCTCCAGCAGCAGCTGCACCAGCACCAGCAGTACCTCCAGCAGCGCCAGCAGTACCGCCAGCAGCAGCAGCACCTCCAGCAGCTCCAGCAGCACCGCCAGCAGCAGCAGCACCTCCAGCAGCTCCAGCAGCACCAGCACCAGTAGCACCTCCAGCAGCGCCAGCAGCACCGCCAGCAGCAGCAGCACCTCCAGCAGCTCCAGCACTAGGGTCCTCGACACGAGGAGCGCCACTCCGGAGACTGCAGCGCCGAGCGTACCACTCTCGGAGCCGCTGGGGAGAGGGCGGCTCCCGCCTAGGAGGGGAAGCACGAGCACCAGAAGCACTCCTAGCTCCAGAAGCACCCCTCCTGAGGCTGCAGTACTGCAAGTACCACTGACGCAGCTGCTGTGAGGAGAGAGCTCCTCCAGGTGTAGCACGCTCAGTCGCAGCACCCTCTGGCTCAGTACCCGCAGACGTAGCACCCCCAGGCTCAGCACTCCCAGACTCAGCACCCGCAGGCTCCGCACCCCTAGGCTCAGCATCCCCAGACTCCGCAACCCCAGGCTCCACACCCCCAGGCTCCGCACGCTCAGGCTCAGCACCCCTAGCAGGACGAGAGTCGACAGCTACCTCGACAGGCTCAACAGGGTCTACCTGGGACACACCTGAGGGAGCGGCACCCTGAGGGGGGAGGGGGTCTACCACAGCAGCACCTGGCGCGAGGAAGAGAGGCGGGGGGGGGAGCGGGGCAGTGCGGTAGGGGAAGAGGCGGTAGTAGGGCACCGACTCGTCAAAGGTGACGTCCTGAGAGGGCAGGACACGTCCGTGGTAGAACTGCCAACCAGATGCGTCCGGGACAAAGCCAAGGAAGACACAAGGAACAGCGCGGGAGGAGAGCTTGTCCGTGGACGTATCGCGAACAAAAGCTCGAGATCCCCAGACCCGAAAACGCGACGCATCGCCAACCTCTCCCGTCCAACGCAGTGTCGGCGAGGTCTCCGGCAAGGAGACACGGGGCCAGAGGTTGAGCTGATGCGCAGCGTACCGGACCGCAAACGGCCACAGAAAGTGGGGGGCAGCCGCATGGATCAAGGAGGTACGAGCGACCTCCATGACCAAGCCAATGCGGCGCTCAGCAACCCCATTCTGCTGTGGAGAGGCCGGAAGCGTGAACAACTGGCGGATGCCGTGCTCCGCACAGTAGGCTGCCAAGAGGTCAGAGGAGAACTCACCACCTCTGTCAGAGTGCAGACGCAGGACAGGAAAGTCCGAGTGGAACCGCTCGCTGAGCTGGAGACGAGAAGCGCGGATCCAAGGGATCAAAACATCAGGGACCTCACCCTTGGTGCGCAAGGGGAAGTCCGTGGTGTAGCGCGAGTAGTCGTCAACAACAATCAGGAAGTACCTCTCCTGACCCTGTCCACGGACGCGGGCTGGGCCCCACACGTCCATGTGGAGCGTCTGCAAGGGAGCAGTCGTCGGGGGAAACGAGGAGGAGTGAGGAGCGGCGCGCTGCCGCCCCTCGACACAAGGAAGACAGGGAGGAGCAGGCGAGGGTGGGAGGGGAGGGAGTACCCGAGGAAGACCAGAGACAAGGTACCGTTTGTGCATGGCACGAAGGCGCTGCACTGACGGGTGACCAAGGCGGTGGTGCCAGAGGACGGTCTCGTGTGCTAGAGAGCGACACGAACAGGGGGCAGACAGCTGACCTGAAGAAAACGCAGACGCAGCTACCTGAGGGGACTCAGTGGTCAGTGTGTACAGGTCCGACCCCGGCTGCCGAGTGAAGGTAGCCAGGTGACGGCCCGTCCGAGCACACGTGCAGTGTGTCACGCGCTCGTAGGCAGGGGTGAACTGGTGGACACCCCCGTCCTGGAGCGCACAACCCGCCACCAAGTTCGTAGAGAACGAGGGGAGGTAGAGACCTGACAGTGTGCCCGACGGAACCGCAGGACAAGGAAGGACAGTGGAGGAGGTCGCAATGACCGGACCCCCAGAGGGGTCAGCAAAGGAGACAGCAACTGGCCGAGCAAGCTGCTCAAGGGCAGTGCGGTCACGAAAGAAATAGCGAGAAGCACCTGAGTCCAGTGTGAAGGTGTGCAGTGCCTCAGTAGACTCAGTACCAGGGGGGGCAGGCTCACTAGCACCTAGAGCAGTAGCCTCACCAGTACCTGGAGCGGCAGCCTTACCAGCACCTAGGACAGCAGACGCACTAGCACCTAGAGCGGCAGCCTCACTGGTCCGAATGCCCGGGTCGGGCGGAACACGCAGGTACTGAGCACCCTCTCCACTAGTAGACAACACATACATGGCAGTGAGAATAGCATCAAAGTCAAGAGCATAGATATTAATGTTCTTCCTCATCAGATCAGCCCAGCGGGGCAGCTCAGTGGCAGCAAGGAACTGAGTGCGCCAAGCGTCGTCGAGGCGGGAGAAGCAGCGCTGCGCAGTGTGCGCCCTCCCACACGTCTGGCCAGTGCGGTCACCAGTGCGGATGACGTACGTGCAGCTAAGGCCACCCCCCCCCCCCCCGTGCTGAGATTACCACTCACGAAGCTCCTGGGGCGACGGAGTCTGCTGTCCGCCAGCGCCACCACGACCACCACCTCCGCCGCCACCACCCCGACCACCACCGCCCCTGCCGCCGCCGCGTCCACCGCCGCCCCCACCACCGCCCCCACCCCGGCCACCTCCTCCGCCGCTGCCGCCACCACCCCCACCGCTACCACTAGCCCCTCCAGCCCCGCCACCGCCCCCACCGCCGCCACCGCCCCCACTACCGCCTCCCCCTCCGTCACCTCCACCTCCCTTGCCCCCTTTGCCCTTGCCGCTGCGGCGCCAGCTCGGAGCGGACGCAGTCCCGACCTGCTCAGTACCAACTAGGTCGACAGCAGCAGCAGAGGCGACAGAAGGGAGAAGGGAGGAAGGGGAACACTCCTCGAAGAAAGGCTTGCGGGGGTCGCCACGAGAGGCAGCTAAAGCGACTATGCTAGTCTCAGCTGCAAGCAGTTCCTTCTCGAGCAGTTCAACGGTGAGCTCAGTGGGGCAGCGAGCGAGGAAGTGGTCCCTGACTGCACGAAGAGAGTCACGGAGACGGGTGACTAGGTGGTAGAGAGTAAGCCAGAGTGGGGGGGGGGGGTGCGTGGCAAGAAACTCAGCGGGCATAGCGGCACGGAAGCGGGCCTCACTAGTGCGGAGGTGCATGATGAGGTCAGCGACTGTGGCGAAAGCGGACAGGTCTGGGAACAGGTAGGGGAGCGAGAGACGGCCTAGCGCAGCAGAGGCAGGTGAGGAGTAGCGTGCAACTACAGCAGTGTACAGTGCCTTCGCAGTTTTGTGCTGGCCAAAGTGCTCGCGCTCATCTACCGGCAGGGAGTTGCGAATAGCGAAGCGAGCGTGGGCGTCACGAGTCTGCCACTGTGAGCGGGCAGTATTGTCAGCAGTAGCAGCAGGGGTAGCAGCGTGGCCTAGTGCGTGATCGTATAGCGAGATATCCTCCTTGGCAGTGAGCTGGAGGAACAGGTGCAGGTCATCTAGCCAGGTGTCAAACTTCAGCGGGCGGCCCTCAGCATCGAAAGCGAGTACAGCAGGGCTAGCCATAGGTGTAGGAAGAGCAGTAGCAGTAGTAGCAGTGACAGCAGCAGTGCGCGGCTCGGTAGGGCGGCGCGGCTCGGTAGGGCGGTGCGGCTCGGGCCGGGCGATTCGGTTCGGTGGGGCGGCTCGGCTCGGCTAGGCGGCGGCTACTCGAGGTGGGGCACGCGAGGGCGTGCAGGGTAGAGCGGGACCGGTCCGCGTGGGGCACGAATGGCGAGCTAGCGGGGCGGGGCCTGGTCGCACGGGGCACGCAAGGGCGAGCGAGGGGGGGCGGTGCCTGGTCGCACGTCGCACGGAAGAGCGGGCTAGCGGGGCAAGGCCGGTACGCGAGGGGCACGCAAGGGCGCGCGGGTGGGTGTGGGCCGGTCGCACGGGGCACGCAAGGGCGCACGCTAAGGGGCGGGGCCGGTCCGTAAGAGGCGCGCAAGGGCGCGCGGGGCAGCGAAGTGCGCGGGGCCTAACGGGGCACGCAAGGGCGCGCGGGGCAGGTGACGCGCGTGGTGCTGCGCGGGTCGCACGCTAGGGCGTACGAGGTGAGCGGGGCCGATCGCACGGGGCACGCTAGGGCGTGCGGGCTAGGCGGGGCCGATCGCGAGATGCGCGCTAGGGCGCGCGATAGTCAGGGAGAGAGTGAGGCGCTCGAGGGCGCGACTATGCGAGGCGCGCTAGGGTGCGAATAAGCGGAAACGGTGGGCCCATATCATTCGGTCCTAGGTTACGACCTAGGCTCGCGATACCATGTTAGAATCTAAGAACGAACGAGGAGGATGAACTAGGAAGAGAATGGAGTACAAGTACCACAAACCTAGAGTAGTGTACCCCCTAGAAGGCTAACCCACTATAGCCTACACAAATATAACAAGTATAATGTTTGACAGGCTCCACCCAAGTCGACCAACTCCCGTTGACACCAACTACATGGTTAACTAACGCAGTTACTCTTGGTACCAACCATATGTGTAAGTAACGCACCTACTCTTTGTACCAACCATATGAGTAAGTATCGCACATAATTTTGGAACCAACACATGGTTAGGTAACGCACTTACTCTTGGTACCAACCATATGGGTAAATAATCCACTTACTGTTGGTACCAACCATGTAGGTAAGTAACGCACTTACTCTTGGTACCAACCATATGGGTAATTAATGCACTTACTCTTGGTACCAACCATGCGGGTAAGTAACGCACATACTGTTAGTAGCAACCATATGGATAAGTAGCATCCATACTCTCAGTACCAACCATATGGGTAAACGCACTTACTCTTGGTGCCAACCTTATGGTTAAATATCGCACTTAATCTTGGTACCAACCATATGATTAAGTTTTGCACTTAATCTTGGTACCAACCACATGGTTAAGTAACGCACATAAACTTGGTACCAACCACATGGTGAAGTAATTCACTTACTCTTGGTAACAACCATGGGTAAGTAACGCACTTAATCTTGGTATCAACCACATGGTTAAGTAACGCTCTTACTCTTGGTACCATTACGTGGTTAAGTAACGCACTTACTCTTTGTACCAACCATATGGGTAAGTAACGCACTTGGTACCAACCACATGGGTGAGTAACGCACCTACTCTTCGTACCAACCATATGGGTAACTAACGCACTTAATCTTGGTAACAACCATATGGATAAAGAACGCACTTACTCTTGATACCAACCATATGGGTTAGTAACGCACTTACACTTGGTACCAACCGTACGGGTAAGTATCGCACTTAATCTTGGTACAAACCATATGGTTAAGTAACGCACTTATTCTTGCTACCAACCATATGGGTAAGTAACGCACTAACTCTTGGTACCAACCATATGGTTAAATAACGCACATACTCTTGGTACCAACAATGTGATTAAGTATCGCACTTACCCTTGGTGCCAACCATATGATTAAATTACGCACTTAGTCTTGGTACCATCCATATGGTTAAGTGTCGCACTTAATTTTGGTACCAACTATGTGGTTAAGTAACGCACTTACTCTTGGTACCAACCACATGGTTAAGTAACGCACTTACACTTGGTGCCAACCATATGGGTAAGTAACGCACTTACTATTGGTATCAACCATATGGGTAAGTAACGCACATCATCTTGGTACCAACCACATGGTGAAGTAACGCACTTACTCTTGGTGTCAACCATATGGTTAAATAACACTCTTTATTTTGGTACCAACCATATGGTTATGTAACGCACTCACTCTTGGTACCAATCATGTGGGTAAGTAACACACTTATTCTTAGTACTAACCATATGGTAAGTATTGCACTTAATCTTGGTACCAACCACATGGTTAAGTAACGCACTTACCCTTGGTTCCAACCATATGGATAAGAATCGCATTTAATATTGGTACCAACTACATGGTTAAGTAACGCATCTAATCTTGGTACCAACCATGGTTAAGTGCCACACTTACTGTTGGTACCTTCCACATGGTTAAGTAATGCATTTACTTTTGTTACCAACCATTTGGGTAAGTAACGCACTTACTCTTGGTACCAACCATACAGGTAAGTAACGCACTTACTGCGGAGATAACTACTACAACGGGAGCTAGAACACTAGGCACGGGTGCTCGTGTGATCTCTGCGTTCGTTCACTTAGTCGTTTCCTTGTGCACACATTGCTTGCTAGTTCACGGAGAAATTGGCAAGAGTTTCACTAGGAAAACATGACAACTACGGTCGCAACAACATTGGCATGCAAGACTACATCAAAGCTAGCAAGGCTGCTGGTCGACCTCCAGCGCAGCACGGTCGACCGCGTGCCAGCAGGACTTGGTCGACCGCACTCCAGCAGAGCAAAGTCGCGGCTTGCCAACGTTGCATGTCCACGGTGTGCCAACGCTGCAGCAAGTCGGCGGCACAGCGTTGCACGCGCAAGATAACGGTGCACCTGCTTCGCAGATGCATTCAGCTGGTTGGTGCTCCATGCCTCGTCACGAGCACAGCGCGGACGCCTGGCAGAGTCTACGCCAGCGACTGCGCCACCGGCCACGTCGACCTCGGGATAACACCCCCGACGTCGGCCTCACAGAACCACCCCTGGTGACCTTTGCACGCGTCCGCAAAAGTCCGTCGCCCGGGTATCCCGGTCGACCGGGCAACCAGGTCGATGCCGCCAGGTCGTCGTCCTCCCTGGTCGGCGTCCCCTCGTCGACCACTTCGGGGCCAGGCCGCTGACTTCGCCAAGTCGTCGGCCACCCAAAGTAGGCGCCCTCCACCCCGGCGCCCTGCTGCTCGACGCCCAGCTGCTCGACGTCCTACTCGACGCCCTTCAGCTTGGCGTCCCCAGCCTCCCCTGTCGAGGTCGACGTCGGCTCCCCCCTTCATCAACCACCAGTCCTGGTCGACCACCAGGTCGACAACACTCCTGGTCGACCAGCAATCTGGTCAGCCAGCCACCCAAGTCGGCTGCTCCAAGTCAGTGTCGCCAAATCGACGCCCGTGCAGTGGCCCCCGTGCAGGTCGACCAGCCCTGTCGACCAGCTCGCCCACTGCTTCAGGTCGGCTGCTCCCCTCACACCCGACCACTAAGTCGACCCCGCGCAAGCGAGGACGGGGCCTCACAACGACTCCCGTTGACACTCCCCTGCCGTGTTCACGCTTGGGCCCCTAGCCTACACGGCAGCACTTCCCGGAGAATAGCTCATCGGCGTGCACCCAACACAAGGTACGCCGGTCACCGCACCAGCCAAGAGGGCATGGCACCTACTGCTGCGTCTTTGTCGCCGTCGCCCTCGTCGGCCAAGCGCACTTGGCCGATTGCGACGGAGCACCGGTTGAAGGCCGGATAGTGCAGTGCTTTTGTCAGGAAGTCGGCCGGCTGCTCAGCGGTAGGGATGTAATTCAGCGCTTCACCATGTGCTGCAACCAGGCCTGTCGCCTCTCCATGTGCTTGAGGTTGCCCGTCAACCCCATGCCCTCGGCGACCGTGATGGCCGAATCGTTGTCCACTCGGAGTACAGTCGGCTTCCCAACATCCAGCGGCCGGAACTCTGCGAGGAGGAAGCGAAGGCGGTGTTCTTCCTAGCCAGCTTCCGTGGCCGCCACGTACTCCGACTCGGTCGACGACAGTGTCGCGCACTTGATGCGCTGGCTCAACCAAGAGACTGCGGCCCCTCCGTAGACGAACACTTAGCCTCCCGTGCTCGTTCGGTTCTGTTTGTTGCCGGCGTCGTCGGCGTCCACGTAGCCGACCAACTCCAGCGTCTTAGGTCCACCGCCGAACTCCAGGGCGGTGTCACGCTTGTTGGTGAGGTAGGCGAGGCAGCGGTCGACCTCGCGCCAGTGCTGGTCGCTCCTCACCGTGAGGCCGCTCCCCAGCTTGCTGCAGGCGAAGGCGATGTCCGGTCTCGTCGTCGTTGTCGCGAACTGCAGCGAGCCGACCTTCTGCCGGTACACCTCCTACTGGCGCTCCTGCGCCTGCTCGTCGTCGAAGGTGAGCTCGGCGTAGGCGTCGACCGAAACCGGCGTCTTTGGGGTGCGCCCGGTCTGCTCCTCGTCGATGAAGCGCCTACGCAGCTTGTCGGCGTAAACTTGCTGGTGCAGCCACAGCTTCCCCGCCGACCTGTCGCGCACGATCTCCAGCCCGAGGTACTTCTGTACCGGCGAGATCTGGCGCAGCTCGAAGGCGGCCTCCTTCAGCATCTCGGCACTACTGCTGGTGGCAAGCAGGTCGTCGACGTAGACCAGCACCCAGCAGGCCACCTTGTCGTCGCCGACCTTGAAGTACATAGCCTCGTCGACTTGGCTCTTCTTCCACCCGGTGCCGACCAGCACGTCGTTGAGCGCCAAGTACCACAGCAGCGGCGACTGCTTCAGCCCGTACATGCTCTTCAGCAGCTTGCGCACCCGGCCGGTACCGTCGTTGAAGTTGCACCCGGTACTGCACCCGGTCGAGCTTGCTCTGCAGGAAGGCAATCTCATGTCAAGCTGCATCAGGTTGAGGTTGAGGACGGCGACGATGCTGAGGAAAATCCT